TTCACCGAATGAACTCTAGTTTGAATGCAAATTTTGTTGCTGCTCTGTCATATGTCTTGCACAGTGTGTGCACAGTTAGGTCAAGTCTTAACTTCCTTCCTGTTGTGGCCTTTAATTCGTTATACGTACTTAATTCATGTGTGTATGTCACCACCCATGAGTCACACCTATTGACCTATGTACATGACACATCCCCAAACCTTTGTTACTTTTCACCCCCACCATACCCAACACCATACCGGTGTGTCAAGGGGCGCGCAATTCGGGGAGCGCTTCGGTATCCAGCGGTCCACAACCGTCGTGTGTGTGGGCCGTCGTGTGAGGTACGTCTTGACCTTCATTCAGATGCTGCATGTCTCGCAGGTCGGGGTGAGAGGGAGTGTCGAACGGATGGAGAAGACTGAGGATGGAGAAGTTCGGTGATTTTTTTGGAGAAAAGAAATGAAAGAGAAGATCCCACATGGAACGATGATTTTAGGGGAGCGACTCACTGTCATCATGTTTGGAGGGCGGCAGATGTCATGAGGACATGTCATGAACATGACTGTGAAAAGAAAGTCAGCGCTACGGTCATCATAGAATCAAACATGGGAAAAACAGGGCTCGCTTCGCCGAAGAGAAGCCATCCCGAAGACCTGTTTTTCCCGGCGTCTGGTCACGACGAAGGAAGCCACTGCAACGGCGCGTGCGACGGCGCGAGCGTTTCGCTGCTCACAGTAGACGGGCCCGTAATGGACGGTCCCTAAAGAAAAGGATCTCTATTTTTCCCAAAAGCATCTCCGATGCTTGGGTTGTGCGCTTCTTTTTGCTTTTGGGTCCGCGGGCTCACCTTGTTTTGGTGCAGGAAGACACATTGCACAGAAACTCAGTGTCCCCAAAAAAACACGATCCCAATGGTCTTCAAGGTGCGTGGCGATGAAAGGTACTGATTTGTATGATTTTGTATGGAGCATGGAGCATCCCTTGAAAAACGACAGAACCATCCCTTGAAGCTTCGCTTCTTCGGGTTCTGTCCTTTCGATTCCGCGTGCCACGTTCCATTCCTTCGGTCCTTGGGGGGCTCCCAGGGGGGCGATGCTCTGTGTGTTCGGCACTGGAAAAAGGACATGGTATGCTGCCACCTGGTGGGTAGATGCCACCTGATTGTCCCCACCTGATTGTCCCCACCTGGTTTGACACATGCCACCTGTGTGTTCGGGGCCCTGGAAGTCGTCTTCTGGCTGACGCGCTGATGCTCGCGTGAGGTGAAGAAGATGGATGACTGGTACATCGGGCTGATGGGCATGGCACGGAGCTCAGAGCACAGCAGATGGTCAGATGGTGAAAGCCAAAGCTGGTGAAGGTTTTAGCAGATGGGGACCCTCTGGATCCGCCAGTAGGTTGACCTGGTTTAGTGGAAGCGATACCTCAAGAAACAGGTGCCTGCCTGTATCCTTTTTGTAACCGGTCAAGCAGTTGGGAGGGTCTAGATTCCAGACTAGATCATATGATCATCATAGCAAACCACCAATCAATCATATGATCATATGTTGGTGGTTGATCATAGCAATCATAGCTTGATGATCATAGCAAGATATGTTCAACCACCAATCCCAGCCAATCTCGGCCCATCCCACCAGAGCTCACCCCAGCCATCTCTCGACGCTTCCAGATGTCATCCTTCATCGACGCGTCCAAGCAGTGGTAACATCGGAGTCCCAGGCACATGTGTGACACGCGAAGAATGTGTTGCGTGCGAAAAGGAATCTGCCAGTGTCTGAAAAGCATTGAACAGCTTGTTTGGCTGCTGAGACAAAGAAGGGGTATGCCAGGTATGCCATGTTCCTTACAAATCTTCAAGAACATGTCGCAGCTGAACGTATCCTGTGACGTATCTGGGATCAGAGCACGTTTTCTTCTTCTTTTTCTTTTTCTTCTTCTTCTTCTTCTTCTCGCCTCGTTAGACGCCTCCCTTAGGGGGTTTGGCGGCAGAAAACTCCCAACACCACTGGAGTTGGTGTGATCAGCCTTCTACTATCGCTATTGGTCGCTTAAATCAGAGGGAAGACAGTCGTGACCGGTCCTTTGACTGGCCGTGACTGGTCGAAGGACCGCACGAAAAACGTCGAAAAACGCGCCGCGATGCGGGCGTCTTCCCGCCACGTCTCTTCCTGCGAATCAACCCACGACTTCCCCGCAATTCGGGGGGTTTTTCTTCGAGAGCTGCGACGTTCAGGAGAATCTGGGCACCTCGACACTGATCCGGACCTAACCCGGCGAGCAGACGGAACGGTACATCCCCGGGTGCCTTGCAACGCGCAGTTGCAGGGGTTGATTTGTGATATTCTCCTGCGTTCAATCTGAAAGTCAACATAGGCAAGAGGCCACCTATACCTATAAGACTAAGTCCAACAAAAGGATCTTGAAGGTTGAAGTGAGTATCGCCCTGGTCGGTTTGGAAGGTGGAAGTTTCGCTATGTTGGCCTAGTATTTCTGAGATATGCCTCTTCTGCTTCTTTCTGCTCATTCGATGAAGATGACGTCTTCTCTCAAATGTGGGTCCCCCGACCTGGATTTCATGTCAGTAGATTTCTAGAAGCTCCGGTTGTCATCGAGCGGTGTCCCGGGAAATCGGTTTCACTGAGAAGATGTTCGTTTGGAAGATCATCAGATTCTTTCGCGCAGTCGCTGAAATCGGTTTTGAAGGGCTGGTGTTGCAAACAATTAGTCTTTGAATGAATGAAGGGTACTCATTCCAACAGGCATGAAACGCATCCAAGCTGTGGACCGACTTGGCTGTTGCAAGGCATTTCAATCTGTTCGGTGAGACTAGATCGGACCACGTCGGACCTATCCAAAGAAGGATTTCTTTACATAACGCGACTTTGTAGCTTTGTGTGTGTGTTTTCGGACTGTTTTGTAGCTAGGGCCCAAAGGTGTTTTCGGACTGTTGAATTGCCATGTGGAGCTTGTTGCCATTCCTTGACCTGTGGGAGCTTGATCATGGTCATGGTCGTAGGCATATGCGCATGGCAATGGTAATGCTAATGGTAATGCCATTCTCCCTTGACCTGGGAGCTTGATGCCTTTCACTTTGTGACCTGTGGCTGCTTGATTTAGCATTACCTCTACCACTACCACTCGCATTAGCATTACTATTAGCATGACCGTTGCCATTACCACAGGTCAAGAGTGAAGATTAGTTGCGTTTTTCGTAGGCGTGAAAAACACATCACACACCCGTATAACATTGCTTTCTGCTTTTTAGTGGAAAACTTGCTCTGAAACCATTAGAGCAACCGATCCACTTATAGATTCCGTCAATTTCTTTCAGCTTGGTTTACATGAATATACTTGTCCTTTGGATCGCATGGCATGAGTCTTGAATCAGAGGCCATGTTTCTTCAATCGGTTGAACACTCAGTGACTGCAGTTTTTGCAGACTGAAAGCGCAGACGGAACGCAAGAGAGAAGCTTATACTGCTTAGAAGTTCTCCATGCGCAACCCAAGGACCATTCTGACTCTGCCAGAAACTGATCCCCGTTGCCCCTGTTCACGCCAGGGATGGGAACTAACATGTTTTTTCATGTTTTTTCATGTTCCCAAGCAATTCAGAGGCTCCTTTGGTTGCAAACCGACTCCTGATTGTGGGTCTTTTGAAGGCTCCCCAAGCCCTGCTGCCGAAGGCTTGACATCCGACGGCAGACCAGAATTGGGGGAGTTTGCCCACTCAATTCGTGCCTGCGGCGTGCTGGCATGAGGCCGGCAATGGCAGAGATACAGCAAGAGAATGGCAAAGCCCTGGCACTGCACTCAACCAGCGACGCGATGGATGCTGCATGATTTATGAATTGCTAGCCCCAGGGAGGTTTGAAGCCACCGCGGGATGTTTCCTTGTTGGACTTGTGTGCGGGTTTCTTGCGGCTGAAGAGATTGTCAAAGAAGAGGCGTTCAAAGAAGAGAGGAAGCCACTGGGGGATGGGATGGCCCATGATGGCCCACCTCGGACCCCCCGCTGGGTTCGGAGAGCACTAGACGGTATTCAGACTCTCAGCTCTCGAGGTTTACACAGCAACACAGCGGAGCCTTGGAACGAAAAAGCCCCGACTCCACTTCTCCCACTTCTCCTTCATGGGCGTCTTCCACCACATGAAGGGTCCCTGATTTTGGCAAAGCCATGACCAAGCATGACCGGGCCGAGATGTGTGGTGTCCAACGAACGCTGACAGTGCAAAAACCCAGACCATGTGCGTGGAGCCGTGGAGCACTGCTCGAGCGGAGCGGTGCGAAGAAGCCGCGGCGCCGTGGGAAGAGGAAAGAACCGGTCTCCGACACGGAAATCGACCGGTGCGACGAGTGGAGGGGTGGAGGACGGTGGAGGTAAGTGAACTCGTGAAATTGGTCGTGGGGGTGTGGTGTTCTTGTTGTATTTAAAGAACCTTGCTGCTGATGCTGTTTTTGTCATGATCGCATATGATCCCGGTCTTTGTCAGGGCTTTTCTTCTTGTCCTTGTTGCGGCTGTCGTCGGGCTACCTTCCTTATGCCCAAGCGCTGGCAAACAATTCTTCGACTGCAGTCCCTGGCCCTGCACCTTGGTGCAGGAATCAATCAGCTTTGTAACCTCACATGTTCCGGAGAACAAGAGACTATATACCGAACTCTCAAAAATCAGATCAAAGCGCCTCTTGCAGACGATTCTAGAAGCTTTGACCCATTTTGGAGACCTATAGCCTCGAGCCTCGAGCAACCCGTTTGACGTGTCGTTCGGACTGCAACTGCACGTTGCACTGCCATTCGTGGCTTTCATCTGGATCCAGCTGCCACTCAACTGGTGGAGCCTTTGGTGTGTTTGAGTGGCAAGAGCCTAAGTCTAATCAAGAACACAAGTGAGTAAGAAGATGTAACAAGTGTACTTTCTCAGATCTTCCGCATGTTCACATTCTTCACAGATCGAAGTCTACATAATCTACACTCTACACTTCAGAGATCGAAGAGAACCAAGAACACATCGTGTTGCTATCCTCTTGTGACTTCTTACATTTCTTTCGGGGTTGTTCGCGCGTGGCTGATCGCTTCCCAAAAGGTGCTGCGGCATCGCCTAAGGCAGGCACAGAGTCCAAGAGAGTTGCTGCAGATGCCTGAGAATGGACACTCCTACACCAGCTGTGAGCCATCACTCCAAAATACAGCTTGAGGTGCGTTTTTTCCTCAGAAGCCAACTTTGGGAACCCTCAAAACTCTCCCAAGAAGACATGACTTCGATGCTGTTCAACGCTAGAAGAAACGAGTTCGTCCTTGACGGCGCCACCAAAATTGGCTCCAGACGCCTCTGAACATCATTTCTCCCTGTGCACTCCCTGAATTTTTCTACTGTGGTGACGTGGACCTCCAGATGGCACCAGCTGTTTGGTATGAGGATTGGAAAAAGGTGGAGTCAAACCGGGGCCGATGGCATGATTTCAGGCAGTATAGTGTAATTAACGGTGATTAAAGATGTTTTCAGACATTGTTTGGATCCTTTTGGGGCCAGGTGGAAGATTTTTCGGGAGATGCCGAGGTCCCGTCGGACCAAAACAAAAGTGGAAAACACCGCTCCGTGATCGCTGTGCAGGTGTTGGTCATAAATTTGCAGTTTTACAACTCTTTCGTTCCAGTTCACAGAGGAGGCCAAGTTATTTTTATATGGTCGTTCTACAGCTCCCTCCCTCTCTTCTCCCCCCGCTTCATCGCTCCAACGCCGGACGTGTCCTGCAACCCGGTGTCCGCCCTTTACGTGTCCGGACCGCGGAGCGGCGCGGCGGTCAGGCGGACGCGGCTCCCGTGGGATGACTTTGTGGAGCCTTTTCCGTTCCAAGGACTCCAAGGACGGAAGCGCCGGGGCACGGTCCTGTCAGGCCGAGCTCTGCCGAGCGGAAGTGGTGTGGATGGGGTGGGGTGGGGTAAAAGCCTAAGCCTGACCATGGGTGGAAGTGGTGAGCTCCTGACCAGAAGAGTGTGAAAAAGCTTTAGGTTTTGGAGGGATGAGGATGAGGCAAACCACAATGATTTTCAAGGTAGGATTCACGTGCAAGATCGGGCAGCCAGAAATCCAATAGAAAGCCGGTGGAGACCTGGCCCCTTAGCATGTTCCTGCCGCACGTTTTGCGTCTCACGCCTGGACCCGATCTAAGCCTTCATTCAGTGTCTTGGAGTGGCGTTCGCAGTGATGAGACCTCGTACTACAGCATTCTGCCGCTTGTATGAAACACTTCCCCCCAAACACCACCCTTCCAACTCATGTAACCATGAGTATTATAACATAACATGTTTCTTCTTTTTGAGGCTGCCAGTTTTTGCGCAGTTCGGATTTGCAGCCCCCCAGAGATGCTCTCCCTCCATGGTCCACCATCGGTGCTTTTACCGCCTGCGATCGCTGGCTTCGGCTCTGCCAGGAGAGCTTCAACAGCTTGAAACCTCCAAGTCCTGTGCAAGTGGCACAGTTAGCGAAGCCTTTGAGCCTTGCAGGCAAACCCCTCCAGGCGGATGTTGTTTTGGGAAGCTCGGTGGGGCAACCGCCGTGATGGTTGGTGCATCATGGTTCATCAAACGGGGCAAAGCTCTCGGTGGCTGGCTTGGGGGGGAGGTGTGAAAGGTGCATCATGCAATCATGCTTTCGTGAGTAAGAGATATATAGAGATATTATAGGACCATAGGAGTGGTGTGCATCTGTGGGGCTACAGAGCTGCTTTTCTTTCGGGCGAAGCCTAAATCTGTCAATACATCGGTTGAGTGTATCGATCACAGCAATGGATCAGACCAGGTATTTCGTGTAACACGTCCCCACTGCATCGCCCTCTCAGTACGATGCAGTCTCAGCCTGGACTCTGACATCCTCGAGGAGCTTAGGGATAAACATGAAAAATGCAAACGGATGCAAAACGAAAAAACAGAATGGAGAGTGAATTCTCCCGTGCTGCCAAGCCATCGCAACACATGAACGTCCCAAGCAAGCTCAGGAAGGCACTTGCCCGACAAACGTAAAAATTGATGTGACAAGCAAGTCTTCAGTTCAAGGTACACCGGCTTCAGACGGACCTCAGTGCTACAGATCCTTCGACAAGAAGGCGCAAACAACTTATGGTACCGCAAATGATAGACATAAACATAAAATTATTGCAAGCAGGGACATATCCCTTGCATTGCGTCCCCTAACAGTCGTGCCACAACTTTTTAGGCAGAGAGCAAGCAGCCCATGCCTGATGCAGAATTGCTCAAGCCAATCAACGCACAACTTTACATCACTAACAAGAAAATCGGGAGCGGTGGAATACCCCTTCGGGGTCCAAGAGGAGGCCCAATTTACACAGTGCTTGCGCACAAATCCAAAAGGGTACCCCGCATTGACTACAAGCATCAACAAAGCTTCCTTCAAACTTAGGATACGCATGGTTTGGTTGGATGAGAGTTAAAAAACTCTACACATCAATCCCCGAACAGCATTGATTCGCTGCTGGGGAGGAATCCAAGAACACCAAGGCATAAGCGGAAAACTATCCACAAGGCGGTAGCAAAACCCTGCAAACATGTATGGTATTTGCGGCGCGAAAGCAAGCTGGCTCCCATTCCAGACACAATTTAGGCCGACAAAATTGCAAGGGTCAGCTTCCTCAAGCACCATAGTCGTCGCAAGAAATGTTTCCAGCACCAATCTATTAACACAGTTTCATTCAAACCAGACGTAGAATTCCACGCCACAAAAGTCCGGAGGTCATCCCGGTAAGAAACATCAAGCGCCAGGAAATTGGCACGAAAATGAACCAACTTACAACGTGAATCAGGAAAAGAGACGCAATTATCAAGGTTGCTCGGCGCCATACCTTGCCATTTGGCGGAGGAAAGCGGAACTCAGAGCATCTCCGGACGGGGGACGCCTTTGAGTTCCAGCCCCAAGTGGCCGTCAATAGCAATGTAATATAATGTAATTAGTTTGCGCAAAATGCGCGAAAACTCTACCAATACTATCAAAGGAACAATACTTCCATCCAGGGTCGTCGCGCCTGCCAAGCACGCCCTTGGATTGGAGACTTCGCCAGCTTCGGACACAGCAAACCAAGGCAAGACAAATTGTGGTCAAAAACAGAAACAAATAAGTCCCTAGGCCACAACTTTGCTGCGGTGATTTGTTCCCACGAAATTGGGAATTCATCTTGATCGCGCAAAGACGATTGGGCTAGAGACCACAATTCAGCAGTACATGCAACAATCATGTCTTCAGTGGCAGCGTCGCCATGTTTCAGTTTGCAACGCCGCCTGAAAGACCGAAAACAATCTCTTACACATGCCGCAATATCATGCCAACGAGGTGGTAAAGAGAGCGTGGCAGGCCACTTGGCAAAAGACTGTAAATGTTCAGGCCAAGGAGCTGTGCAAGCCAAGGCTGCCACGTGCTCCTGTCCGTCAATTGTAACTGTCGGCCAAGTAGGGTCTGCTTCAAGCAACTGGTTACAGACACAACGTGGCACAGACTTACCAGCTAGCCAATCATGTAGGTAAGAGGAAGAAGAAAGTACATCCCGAAGCTTCTTTGGCTTGGACCAAGTAATAAAGCACTTTGCATGCCGGGCATCCAGGGGAATCTGGCCACCGGCCCTCCAAGCTCGTAGAAACGGCGGCAGAAATTGCAGGATCACTCGCTTGGCCTTGCAGATTGGGAAACAAAGGTCACGTCGCCTGTGGCGCTACGTGCCTTTCTTATGGCTAAGCCTTTGGCGTCTCCGGCACCCTTCTGAACATCTATCAACTCTGTGGGCAACATAGGCCCAGGGACCCGGCGCCAGGTTCCAAACTGCCAACATTGCAGCTTGCCAGCCTTCAATTTGGACACCTTGAATGGCCAAAGCAGTGAGTTGCAACCCACTTTTCCACGTACTCGTCACGATGGCCCGGTCCGGGAACAATGACCCGGTCTTTTTTCTGCTAACAGAGGCGACAGAGCGGTCTGTGTGTGGTAAATATACGAAGCCCTTGCTTCAAAGTCAAATTATTGCGGATGTGTATGCCTGTAGCGGATGTGTATGCCTGTCAGCAAGCCTTGTGCCAACTCCAACTTTATCAGTATTTGATGGGCTCAGTTTCCTTTTCCAACGGTTTGTTCTGGGATATCTACATAGTTTAATGATATCGCATTTTCTATTTGGAAGTACCTACGGACTATGCTGCGTATAAAAAAGGCTATCGAATAAATACATCATGATTCCGGGCCACGCGAAGAGGGCACAGAAGAAAGGTCTCGACGAGTGCAGGTGTCCCACAAGATTACAGATGAACGACTAAAAAAGCAAACACCGCAGAAGTTGGCTTGTCTCTACAAATAACACGTTCTCTATGTCAATGTGATGGTTTCAGCCTCAAGATGAGGTCGGTGTTCGTTGGGTCCGATTTCGGACAAGCCACCAACTCCTCGACAGGCTGCTTTTGGCAGCGTTCTTTTTTCGCAACCATGAAAGAAAGGTGCCAGAGGGCGACCGAGCATGTTTCAGGCAGGTGCACTCCCTAAAATACACTCTGACGAACACATCATGTGGAATTGGATGGCAGGGTGGTTGAAAAGTGGTCAATGTAAGTGCCACGATCTGGGAAAAGGCCGCTTTCTCCGGGAGAAACATGGAGCTTCGCCGCTTCGCGGGCCATCACGGTTGCCACTGTTCAGTCCAGACGGGTCCGTGGTCCGCTGCGTCCGCCGCTCGCGTGAGGCGCCGGAGTTCGTGGAGACAGGAGCCGAGCCGCGGCGATGCGGAGCCGTGGGGACTGGGGACTGGGGAAGGATCTGGCCACTGGTTCTGCCGCTGAAACCGTGTGGGACCATGGAATGGTGTTGGTAGTACAAGTATTTACTTGGTTGGATAGTAGTAGTAGTAGTAGTGGCAGCAGGACCAGCAAGCACGTTGGGAGAGAAAAGAAGAGAGAGAGAGAGAGCGCGAGAGCGAGTGGTTGAAATTGGACCAAATCCCACGCGTTTTCTGTGTTCCAGGATGTTCTGGGTTGGTGTAGGACATCACGCATCTGAGTGCATTGTTACAGCTTTGAGGTATATACGGTATATGGGTTTCCACTCCTATCCGGGCCTCTCCTCAGAAAGGCAAAGGTGCTAAAGCGTGCTGAGTAATTTGTTCTCCCTGATCTCCCACAAGTCCAAACATCAGATCCATTTCCGTCTTCGAAAAACGAAGTACGATGTCTTTCACCCCTCAGTCACCCCAAAAGAAGACACCGGTCTCTGCTGATGAAGGTCTACCGGTCTCGACTTCACCGGTCGAGAGGATGGCGGCCGGGGCAGACCTTCACCGCGGACCAGGAGGGTCGATCCTCACTGTTCCACCGCTTCACCGCGGCGTCACCCTTGGGGCCGTGTGAAGCATCTGAATGTGGACGAAAACGAGGTCCAAAAAGAAGTATTTCTATATAGAGCTCATGGAAAATTGTTTTTCCATTCTGAATCGGCAGCAATGAAGGGAAGCTTTTGGTAGGATGAAGCGATTCAATCCAGCTCTCCGGGTGATTTGTTGAGCTCATGAAACGAGGATCAAAGAGATGTTTTTCGGCAAAGAGATGTGGGACCCAGACACGAGGGGACTTTCAACATCCAGCGCCCAGGAACACAGGTCACTCATGAACTTCTGGAGAAGTTTCACCCAAGACCAGGCCCCCCTAGCCGCACGGTGCGACCCCAGATCGAACAAGCAGCTATGTGCGTAACCTGCTGCGCTCCATTCCTTCATAGACGTGTTGATTAAATGAACCACCCCATGTGAAGAGGTTTCTCAGTTCACCTGGGGGGGGTTATGTACCTCCAGAGTCTCCATTATTATAGGAGTCAGAAAGGCTTCCTTCCTGGAGAAATGTCGCCAGGATCGTCCCGAAGTGTCTTCCCGACACGTCCGTCCGGCCCAGGACCCTGACCGAATTCGGCTGCTTTGGGAAGCGCCTAGCTTCGTGCAGAAGGATCCAGTGCAGCAGCGGCAGAAGACCCGGGTGGAGGAGCATCTCAGAATTCACACTTTGTTTATGGTGTCACGTCCGTACGGGCCCCCGTGAATTTGCACGTTTTTGAAGCAGACAGGGTTCCAACAATCATTCAGGGGGGGTGGGGGGGGGCAAATGACGTCGGTTCGTGTTTGGGTCGTTTCGTGTTTTCGTCGGTTCGTGGTTTCGTCGAGTCACGTGTTCGTCGGGCGTTGTTTTTTTGAGTTTGGCAGCCGGATGTCAGACAAGAGCGCGCCGCAGACACCATCTCGGGCCGCTGGTTCGCGGGAGGACCCGATTCTCGGAGTAAAAGTAAAAGACATTTTTATGTGCTGAGATAGTGACCTCAGGCTTGCTTCGGAATGTTCGAGCAGGTTCTTTGATTGTTGTGTGCAGATGGAGCACTTGCATGGTCGGCCGCTGCTGCCAAGTACCCTTCGAAGCGCTTGGGTGTGAAACACGTCAAGCATGTGAAGAGTCAATGGACTAAGAGGGCCAATGGTCAACTCGAAGCAGACTCAGATTATCTTTGGCACCCAGCAGCTAGATTGGCTGTGGTCGTGGATGAAGAAATTCATCTCGCCACAAAGCAAGAACCGGTCAAAAGGATTGGTGAACCCACGGCTGTGGAATAGAGTGTATCAGTGGGTGTATCGCAACCACACACGAAACACCTGAGAGCGTGCCGACCACGGCTGAAAAAAGGCCACTATACAACTTTTTTTCGACTTTTGAAGCGCTCGAAACGCCATTTCGTATGGGCCTGCCCACACGAAGACGGGGGGGCCCGTACGGACGTGAAACTTTGTTTATGGCTGTGTAATGCTGTGTAGGTCTACATAGGGAGACAGACCCTTGTGCTTGCCCCTGGGTCCGGTCCACTGGTCCCTATTTTCCGAACTCGGGGGGGGTCGTTGCGTGGGAGGTCGCCAGAAAAGCAGACGCGCGCAGGTGGATCGCAGGTGGTCGCTTTGAGCCATGCAGTTCTGTTTTTGGATCTCGCTCGGTTTGAAGGGACGAGGTCACACTAAATGTCACCCTCCTCTGACAAGCAAGTGCCTGCAAATTCATTCTCCCAGAAAAGTCTAGTGGTTTTCGATTTCAGAATTTCCAGGTGACCGGTTAAAAAGAGTTCTATAGTGAAACTGGAATCGATGCAATCGTGGACTCCATCTCAGAAACTATACATGAAACCAACAAAAACAAAAAACTCTTGAACTACTGAGTAACTACTGTATTATTTATGTTTTGTTCTGTTTGAGTTTGTTTGCCTTCTCTGCCAACCTCGTCACTAGGACCTCATCTCGGACACTCCCGAGACCTTTGCCCGGGTGGTTCACGGCGTGGTCGACGAGGAGCTCAGCACAAAAATGCGATGCGACACGCGACACGCGACAGGTCCAGGTCAGCACTGGTGCAATTGTGTGTTGTGTTGACTATCTTGGACTAATTATCTTGGACTCAGAATGGTGCACAGAGTAAGCTTCAATCTCACGGAGTAGTCCGAAGACTCTCATGGTTTTTACTTCATTCATGTTCCGAGTCCAATGAGAGAAAGCGGAGAAAGGGCCTGTTTATTTGTTTCAAAGGCTACAATCATCTATACAAATGCGCTAAAATACATGATGATCCATGTTGAGTCGATGCATGGTGGGCCGGGCAGGCTTGGGTGCAATGTCTATCATCATAATACAAAATCTGATACACGTTTCTTGAGGCGTTGTGTTTGGGTCATCGGGTCGAATTTCCCCCTCCTCTTGGTACATTAAGAGCTCTGGCGATGGGAAGGTCTCCCCCTGGGCCGAAGTGCATGACATCCAATGAAAGGTCTATACAGGTCTATACAGGTCTCAGAGTCATGTGCTCTAGTTTACAAGAACTCATCGGTACCAGGTCACCAAGCTGAACATACACCTTGGATACACCAGGTCCTGGCCGCGAAGCTCTGGCCCTTCGTTCCGCGGTTTTTCCGCGGTCGACGCGCCACGCCCGCCCGGTTGGCGCGCGCGTTCCTTCGGTCGCCGCCCCAGCGCCCGCCCAGGAGGACTGCGCGGAACTCATTCGGTGCATCAACGTGAAAGGCCCGGCGCCACGACCGCTCCGGCGGTCCAGAGGCGGTCGTGGCGTTTCGGAGGAGGGGGAAGGTTGGGATGGTTTCGAACACCACCGGCCAGAGGTTTTGGCGTTTTTGGGGGTGGAAAGGCTCAAAAAAGGCAGGTGATGGTTCGATCAAGGTCCCGAAGTCCAGTCCAGGTCACCTGGATTGTCACTTGGTTGGTCTCCCCAGAGCAACACCACTTTCACCACCAGTCGCTGCGACCCCCGACCGACGACTCGTCACCTGGTCGAAAGGCCCCAGACATCCACCAAGAAACCGATCGGGGATATGTATGACGTGCAGGGTGCTGGACGTTGGTCGGGTATGTGAGGAATTCCGCGTTTTTGAGCCACTGGGGATGGTTTCAAGTGATGGAAACGTGGCAGGCCGGCCCTTGATTCTTCTAATCTCATATCCATATGGATCCATATGGTATTATGCCATCACAGGTGTCTGCCTCGCAGGACCGAGGTCCTCGGTGCAGGCACCGGATGTGACCTGGCGGATCTTCTGGCTTCGTCGTGACCTGGTCCTTGTGTGGGAGGTCTCCCGACCGACCGATGGTTCTTCGTCTTCGCTTTGGGGAACGGTGGTTTCTGCGCCCCAAATTGGCACCTGGGAAGGTGAACATGGTCTGATCTTGTGCGCAGATTGGCTGGAAAGCATCTTTCTTGTACCTGTGCATCTTGCATGTGTTCCATTTAGCATCGAGGGCTAGCAGGATGCTTGAAAGAATGGATGTGCAAGTTGCAGAAGAGGATTTGCAATCTGCAGATGTGTTGCCAACAGCCCAGAGAACTGCGAAACAGCACGGTCTCTTCTAACCTCGTAGTTGCTTGAGCCGGGATTGGATCCAAATTGGATGATTCTGCTGAAAGATTGGAACGTGGAGTCTTGTTCCAGCCGCCAGCCGCAAGCCAGATTTGACCAGGCTGATGAGGACGCCGAGACGAAGCCTCCTGACGACGGGTTCTCGTCGTTCTCATGCCATACAGTATGCGTTCGGCACCACAATCGGCACCCGATGTCTCTCGAAGGTTTCTTCGTGTGTCTTCACAACACCATGTGGCAGACCGGGCAGGGGAAGCCATCAGGCAGCCAAAAGCAAGCAAACAAGCGAGCATGGGACCAACCAGGAGCTCGAGACCAACCAGGAAGATGAGATCATAGCCAGGCCTTTGGCCGGAGTTCTTCCACCATGTTCCCAACCCCACGCAACACGGCACGTCGCAACGTGGTTGTTCCTCGACACGACCGGCCGCGTGATCCGTTCGCCACGGACGAAATGGCTGGTACTTTGGAGCGCTGTGAGAGGCGAAGAAGACTCTTGAGGTACATCACCCCCCCCAAGTGAATTAAAAAACCTCTTCATCAAGAGGGGGGAAGTGGTTGATGAAGAGTCTACTTCGCATGCTTTTCAACTGGTGTTTTTTTGCCTCAAACTCAATATAGCAACTCACAAACAAAGCAATTCTTGGGTGATTCTTTTCGGTGGAAACGGTTTCCCATCGAATTTCTGGAACCCAACCTTGCAACATCGACCGATTCCATCCTATTCCACCGATCGAAGCATACCTTGCACCGCCCAACGGCATAGGTATCAAAAAAATAAAAAGAGCATCAAAAAAAATAAAAACAGGATCAAAATAAAAATAAAAAGCGAATCAAAAAAAAAATATTCCTTGATAGGCCTCTTCTGCTGCTCTCCTGGCCTTTTGGTCTGCGGGTCCTCTGGTAATGTGGTCCCTTGGTCCTTTGGTCCCTTGGTCCTCTGGTCCACTGGTCCTTTGGTCCCCTGGTCCCTTGGTCCTTTAGTCCACTGGTCCCCTAGTCCTCCGGTCTCCTGGTCCTCTGGTCCTGTGGTCCGCTGCTCCCCTGGTATCCTAGTCCTTCTGTCTCCTGGTCCGCTGGTCTTTTGCTCTCCTACGGCGCTCGTCTGTCGATCTCCTGGTCCCCTGCTTGTGCAAATAGAGGCTTGATTGCTTTCTACTAGAGGCAGCTCCCTGGGAAGAAAGTAGGTGCCCAACGATAAGGTAGCCGTCCAGTCATTGAGTAGCCCTACTCGAAAAATGGTTCACCAGCTTGGTGAAAAAGACCCTGTACGGCTGCGACCGCAATGCACCCATTAGAAATAGACTGGTCCACCACATCTTTTTCCTGAGGCGATTCCCATCCAGGCACCTTCCGATGCTGCTACACCCATTCCAAACACTTCTCTGCTCTGAGCGCTCTGACAACGCCATGTAGGGCCTAACTTCGTGTGAACGCCGTGACTACTGCTACTGCTACCACTACTTCTACTACTACTACTACTCCTCCTCCTCCTGCTGCTGCTGCTGCTACTGCTCTGCTACGCTGCTGCTGCTGCTGCTACTGCTACTGCTACTACTACTACTACTACTACTACCCCAACCATCCTCAGTGGGCTAGAATATTTTTTTTTTAGATTCCCTTTTTATTTTTTTATTGATTCCCGTTGAATATTTTTGTTTGATTCTATTTTTATTTTTATTTTGATCCCTTACCCCCGCCCAACACCGATCGCCAGGCTTCACGCCGGCCCTGCTGAACATCGGCGACTGGGCGGTGCTTTCGAAAGAGAATCCATGTCCGAAAAACGGGTGCCGCGCCATGGGCGCACCGGTTTTCAGGTTGTTCATGAGTCTTTCACTCATCCATGTGCAAGACGTTCAATCTATGTGCAATCCAAAAATCCGACATGGGGGGTTCCAGGAGAGGCGACGAAGGTCACGGACTAAAGCCTTTGGTCACCGATGAAGGCTGCAACCTGTACGGATCTTGTAGGGTCTGTGGTAGCTGATGCGTGTTCTTGAGTCATTGCAACAGATGTCTGGTCTCCCCAACCTCGAAAGATCTCTGGTGCTTGTGGTTGAATTGCATCTTCTCATGGGTGTTTGCCAGCTGATGAAAACTTGCCTCTCCTCATATAGGTCCGAGCCTACTGCTTTTAAACATTTTTAAACTAGTTGGTGAAGGGTCTTTCAATTCTGAGAAGACAAGTCGCATTTTCGAGATTTGCTGTGCGGGTATGCCATCCAAGGCTTCTTGAAAGGCAGGTTCTCACAACTGTGTGTTTCTACATGTTTCTGCATCATTCTGCATCCAAATGTAATATATAAAGTGAGTAGGACGAAGAGATATGTTGTGTATAGATGTATGTAGATGAACTGTATGGCCTGTTGGTGGATTCCTTTTGTAGGCGACAGTGATATTTCCAGTGCGAAAGCCCCATGGTTGTGCAAGAACCTTTAGCTGACACATATTTCACGATGTTGGACTGTACATCCGCCACTAATTTGAATTCTGTGTTTTCAACCTAACTCGTTTGCATTGGATCCGCCTCATGTGCTGCAAATCAATTTATATACGGCGTGTGTTTTCTTTTGACGTTTCGTCTCTAGTTTTCAGTGCAAGTTAGCGTTGGGTTTGGTGACATATATAATGTTCAAACATATTTAAAAGAGTTTTAAAGATATCATGATTAATATGAATGCCTAATATGTCAGCGGTGCAATTTTCCCAGCCGTACTTGGGGGTACTTGGCCAAGGCGGCCAAGGCGGCCAAGGGATTGCACTCCCGCTCACAACAACTGAGCCAATCAAAGAAGAACGGCAAACAAAGTTTCGCCCATCCCCTCTATAATATATGCTACTGGTAGTTTCCAAGTATCGTCATTCACGAATCTTCATGATCTGTTAGTTTCGAGCCTCCGAAACCGTGTCCCGAACGCCTTTTGTGTCATTCATCATCATTCATCTAGCCGCGAGCCGAGTCGTGTCGCGCTCTTCGACTCCTTTCACCACGGCCCCTTTTCGGTCTCTTTACTCCGCCTTCGTCCTGCCTTCGTCCCAGGTAGAGGTCGACAGCGCTTGGAGATGGGCGTGCGCAATGGTCACCGGTGCATCGTCGACAGCCAGGCCGCTTGCGAATCGCATGCCGTTCGCGCCGCCCACCCTTGGGTTTGGAGGAGCTTGTTCAGTGCATTTTGAAGGGACCAAAAGAGCTAAGAACCTCTAGCATTCCGTGCGGATTGGTGGAAAGCCTTGGTAAATAAATGGGGGAGAAGAGCCCATCGGGTGAGTATTTAAATCGGGTGCGCAAGGGGTTTCTGGTCCGTGTTGTGGAGGATGATATCGTGTTTGCTTGTGCGCTTGGGCTGTTTTTGTGAAAACTTGAATCGAGGCATCACACAGGGTTAACTGAGATTTCTTGTCCACAGGACTTGATTTGCCACTGTTTTGAGTCACCTCGTGATGATATTGGTTCTTCCACAGGCAATTCGTCGTTCACCATGACCATACCTTGGGATGTCTCACCGCGCCCGGCGGCTGCGGCTCATGCTATTGCTATGTGGATGTTTGGAGCGCCAAGGATCGAGGTGCATGGACCAGCCACTTCCCACATCTATCTAGCCGCTCTGGAAGAGCCCGTTCTTTCTGCAACTGCCCCAGCAACTGACAAGGATCGAGGGCTCTCCCACCAGAAGGTCCGCCTGGCTGCCCTAATCCATGCGGGGTTCCGCCAGGAGTTGAGCTCGTGGCTGTTGGAAGTGCTACGGCCCTATCTTCCCGAGACATTACAAGGCCAGGGAGTGCATGGCCCAGGAGAAACGAGTGGATCAAGTCGTAGCTCGAACTGGGAAGAAATGCAGAGTTCCCTGCAGAATCCAGCTGTAGTGAGCTATCAGGAACCAGATGAAGGGGGGTCTTCTAAAGCAGGACACCCTCTCAGCAAGCCTCTATGAAGCTGGAGGTTCGACCTGGGGTTCTGTCCAAAATGGCGAACCCCGATGCTGGTCTCCCATCGACCACGGATCTCCTTTTTTTCGGGACATGGGACAAGTTCACCCATCTGTTGGAGTATCTTGTCCCATGTCCGGCCATGTTCCATGTCCCAAGCGGAAGAAGTTGGTCTCCCCAAATGATCTTAGTATAAGCCGTTTTTTCGCATCTGTCGCTTGTCCTCCTTCTTCGTCTCCCCAAAGCGGCGGAAGCGGCTTCGCCGGAATCGTCTCCGGCTCAGCCGTCTCTCGACGTCCGGGAGACGTCCAGCACTTCACCGAGTGCCTGGAGCGAGTGCGATATCTCGAGCTGCTCGAGTCATAGGGCATTTTGGAGGAGGGCTGACCCCATTGATAGGGTGTTGGGCTGGCCCTCATGAGGGAAACGAAGCCACATGGCTGGTCCGAACTTTAGGGTTCGCTTGGGCTGTTGACCTGATGAATTCATGTCATCTGAGGTCTAGTCATGTCTAAGTGTTCGCTATGGCCCTTGTCGCGCGGAAAAGAACCTAGGTGGCAGGTGGAGTTGACTCCAAGACCAAGCATTCTCAGCGAAGAAAACTTTGCCTGAATGCATTTGGATCGTCCGGATCTAAAGTCAAAATCATGATATACACTCCCGAAACTAGACCCTGACGTCCTGGCCCCCTGGAAGAGTGTTTGCCTCTACCAACCAGTGGTTTTCGGTGTCTATGGGATCGTCTTCCAGGGTGTACTGCTTGATAGGTCAGGATGGGTTTGCACTCGGATTCTCACGACATGTCGAGAGCATCCAGCATCCAAGCACTCCATCGGCAAAAACACCTCTACCCCCTAAAGACTTGCATGACTCTTCATGTCTCTTGATTCATCAACCTCCCCGTGGGCTCAGAGGTGTTTCAATTCGTAAGAGGTCATGAGTTCATATTATGAAGTCTAAGGCTTTTATGCATTCTCCCCACCGCAAGGTGGCCCGCTCGTGGACTTCAACGAGCGATGTCGAGTGCTTTGTTACACTCCTGGGCAGGACGCACGCCCAACGCACGTCCGCCGCACGCCCACCAGGGCGCGTGGTACCGATGGTCACCGCGGTGTTTTTTTGTTGGAAGATCGGCCTGAAAAAGAAAAAGATGGGGGCGAAAACCATGCGCCTTTCTACGTGTCCCGATGATTTGGAAGGGGAGATGGGGAGAGATAGCCCAGAAGTCAGGGCTTTGACCAAGCCATTAAAAGGAATCCTTTGCCCTAGCCTTCCAAGACCATTTGTTTAAATGGTTGACCTGGTTTTCTAGCATAAAATCCCATTGAGCTCGCAGGAGGTGCGCATTCTGATTTTCCATTTTGCAGCCACTGGCTGCAAGTGGCCGCAAGTGACTACTACTTCTGTCCGGAGTATATCATGATTTCTCCACGCAGTTCTGAAGAAAACCAATATTTATGCAATGCTGTTCTGCGAAGAAATTCCGGTTTTCTCCCGAGCTGTGCGCGCGGAGAAATCATGAAAAACATCCAAAGCTTTTTCCGATAGTAAATTCCAAACTTCTGCAGAGCTAGCGACGAAGAAATCTTACCGTTTTTACATAAAGAACTCAAAGTTCAGTGTTGAAATTTACTTGCTTGAGTGACAAGTGGCTGCAAGTGGCTGCCAAGTGGCAACCTGAGCAAGTGGCTGCAAGTGACTGCAAAACCAAAATGTACGTCATGTGCTCGCTCTGTAGAATCCTTATAAAACAATGGTTGTTTGGGACTCAGGTTATTAAAATCATTGGCGGTTGGAATATGTTGGACTCCTAGGCTTTATGTTCCTTACGTTTGGGTCAAGCAAATCGGTTGTAGCGACAGAAACACATGGCACCAGTCATCAGCTCCAGGTGCTTTGCGTCTCTCCGATCGTAGGAGTTCTCGGCGCATTATGATGCATGCTTCGAACGGAAGAGAGGTGAAGGCCGTGTCAAGGGCGTTGACTGCTCCTTAGTCACGGCTCAGCTCTATCTTCACGATGTACCTGCAGCCCGGCGATGAGTGATGAACGTGGCACGGAAACGTACTGCCATGTGGGCGGGTAGTGGTAGTGGGTGGTTCTTTTTTTCATATGGGTGTCTAAGACACGTAACCAATGGGTTTTTGGTCTATATCATTTCTTCCAGGAGGTCTTTGGGAGGTCTCCCTATTTAATTCTTTAATACATATATGGTTCATTCCAAGAAATACTGTTTGCTGTTTTCCGAGCCTTAGAAGTCAGCCCGGGGTCTAGTAGCTAGGTTCCCATGATCCAACGAACAGACGAGTTGTTGTGAATCGGGAGACGGGGTTCGAAGCCAAGAGCCTGTCAGACGGTCTCTTGTTGCACCAGGTGCTGGGGAGAAGAAACCATCTGGGTGGAAGGATGCAGAATACATATGCCAGGTTGATCGAAGTAGCATTCTTAGACCTCCCTGTTGGAGTCTCCATGAGCCCCTTGTGAAGGTCCATTTAGATGCCTGTTTTTGAGTGGCATGGTTCCCAACTTCTTCCTACTGTATGACAATTGGTTGATCTTCCTTACCGGGCACCGTGACCCGGGGTTTTCCTCGAGAATCCAGAGGTTCTGTCCAAGGCACTCGGCTTGGACTTGGATCTTCAGGCCCTACTTCCACACCGCTTCGTTCCGCCAAAAGCACCGGACCGGTCACCACGCCATCGCTGTGCGCGGCCACGGACGCGCGCGCGCGTGCCGCTCTTCGTTGGGGCCTGAGGCCGCGAATGGTGGCGGGACGGCCTTTCTCACAGAAGATGGGAAGAAGGTGGCTGTGGCTCCTGGTGGAGCAGGGCTCCTGGTGGGTCACGACCCATCCCCTTCGAAGCCGCACAAATCAAGATCTAATAATTGCCTGCCTTTCCAGAGCAAAATGCTTATTATATAATCCTATATATATATATATACAATGTTTTTCCAAAGTTGGAAGCCAAAAGACTCCGTCTTTGGAAAAACATGGTATATATTGAGCATATGTTCGCAACCCTTGGACGGCATCTTTGAGCACATGTTTGCAACCCTTGCACGGCATCTTTGAGCACATCATTTTGTGTTTCCTGAAATCAGGTGTCTCGGTTTGATCCCTTGAAGCAAAAGGGAGGGCCGGCTACCCCCGCAAAAGAGCTCCTCCTATCTCTTTTGTTTCGATCGTTTGTCTCTTTGATGTGGTTTCATCTTTCGTTTTCAGCACTTTTCGCTCGTCCAACGGCTCATGTTGACGTGCAAAAGTCATGTTTGCTTTGGCTGCGGCCAGCCATTTGCATTTTCTGCTTTCAGCTGTTCATGCCGTTTCGCCAGACGAAACCCATCGATTCACTGGTGTCGGCGCTTCAGCCAGTCTTGGAACGATGTATCGTTAGCTTGGTATCCCGCACAAGAAAAGCGAAACAGAAACCCAAAGGCCGTGGGCGCAAGAAATTTCATGGGATGGGGATGATGGGGTTATGACTTTTCACCCTTCACAAGTTGGGTTTGACCAGACGTTTGAGGAATTCCACAAGTTTGGCTTCAGCCAAAAAGGTCACAGCACGCAGGGCTCTCTCCGCAGGTCACGCAGGGCTCTCTCCGCTCCAAAAGTCTGTGAAACGTAGCTCCCTGGGCTTCGGTCCCCTTTTCGGTCCTGTTCGATGAAACATATTGGCAGCTGTGTGATGGATCTTGGATGCACCAGTGCCAGACAAGACTGGACGTGAGCCCGGAAACAGGCACTTGTACTTATACTATATCTTATACTTTACACGTGTTTTCCGAGGTACCTGGAGTCAACAAAAGGACTCCGACGGTTTCGTTTTTCAGTTTTCACCCACGTCGGTTCCGGGTCCTCTGGTTCTCCGACGGTTCCGGGACCAGTCAACACACCGCAACCTGACTGACCGGTGTTGACTGGTAGGTGACCTCCTGTCAGCCGGGGGCTGGATCAGTGTTGCTCTTCACTCAGATCCTGGGCTCCGATTCGTGCGCGCACGATGCGCACCATTCGTGCGCGAGTAGATAGGTCGGTAGGTATGGTCCCTTGGATTTGGTCAGTTACGACGGGGGCGAGGGGCGGGGGTCTCGTTTTGGAGGTTTGTCTGAGCTTTTGCATGAAGATCCGGTGGAGATTCCCTTGATTGGCGTAGTTTAGGGATGTTTTGGGTTCACTACCACTCCAATGATTCAACAGCAAGTACCAGCAGCTTTCTCGGATATGATGAACCACTCTAGTAAAACCATATCAAACCTGCATGACCAAATGATTGGCTTGGGACCTCCAATAACATCGCTTCACAATAACATGGCTTGGGATTTTCATGGGACGGGTTTTTGGACGACTGGTCGACCCGGTTGGCTGTGGATGTCTGGTGGGCTGTGGGTCTATCAGATTCCTACCATGGAATATCCGCTCACGAAAGACCACGGAGCTATTCTGGGGGGAGCTCAACTCCATCGTGTTTTGACCCAATACCTCGATCAACTCCGCTGGCATCGTGGGAGTTTTCCCATGGCTGGCACCACAGATACCTCAGATGTCTCAGACGATGTTCGTTCCTTGACTCCGCCACCCAACCAAGGAACCTTCTGCATGAAGGATCGCTGGTGACCGCAGGCATCAAGTACACCTTACGAACTGAAGCCATGTACAGGTTGAGCTGGTTCAATTAGGTGCGAGAGTTTTCAGGTGCCAGAGCCAGCTCGGGCTGGCCAATTCCCATTTCCTGGCACGATCCACCCATCGCCCTCAAGGATGTTCTGGCTGACTGGTGACTGGTCACCAACTGGTTATAGATTTACAGGACTGGACTTTGCAACTGGCCAAAACATATCAAAACCCCGAAGAAAAGCGCAATTGTGACTTGATGGGTGACAAGGTGGTCGGTTTGTGTGCCGCATCAAGTCCCAGAGAAAGAGACTCAGATGTGGTGGAACTCGCCCGAATTCTGAAGTCAAAACTCGAAAATCCTGACAAAAAACGGGTAAAACATCAGACCAAGTCACATTGAAACTGGCAAAACGTCAGACAAAACGCACACCAAAACAGGTAGAAGAAAAAGCCGACGGAACACCAAACGATCGAGATTTGAGGAGGACAAAAGGTGTGTGTCGTAGATATGTCTGTCGGTCGCAGATCCGTGTCAGTGGTAGTGGAGACGGATTCTTATCATTGTGGTTTTGAACTTCTGACACATGAGTTCAGCTCAAATAGCAAGAGTTGTGCACACATGAACCCAAATCGGAGGCAGAACCATCACATGGATGCCGAAGAAAGACACGTTCAGGAAAGATGCCCGACGATGCCAATGCAGCTTGCAGTTTTGGCATAGATGATCTACAGATTCAGATGACGCAGTTTTGCGAAGATATTCATATGCTCTTTCAGTGGTGTTTTGATTTCCTTGAGTCTCTGGGACCCTGTGCTGTGTCACGTCGCCCAGAGCTGGGCAACAACGCTCAGAGCTGCCCAGAGCTGTGTCACGTCGGCCAGCGCCCTTCAAAACCCAAGAATCGGTGGAGCCTTCATCAAAAAGGACCCTGCAAAAAAAGTCTCAGTTGATAAGTAACATCAACTGAAACCATTCAACTGCATGAATGGTGAAAATATAGTTTTACTATAGTAGTTATATTTCAGTTGATATAGTCGTCTAGTAATAGTACAATCAACCATTCTACTACTCTGCATGTTCTACTGTTGCATGTTGACAGAAAGAGCACTTCAATCATCGAATCGTTGCCCAGTAACGACCACTATTTATCAATATAGCAGGCTTAAAATGAATATATATATATATATACACATTCGAGTATAAGAGGTTGTTGGATATGACTTGGATGAGGTATGTTCATATGTTTCACCCGAAACTTCTGCATGCCTTACCCAGACACTCCATGTATTCACAGCGCTTCGCGCACGAAGCCGCCCGCACGGAGCGTGTGCGTCTGTTTGGGAGTGTGTGCGTTTGTTTGTCTCGGTCTGTCTGCCTGTCTTGTTCGGGCAGGACACACGGAAGAACACACGCACGATGTCAATAGTCTGTCTCGGTCGGTCTGGGTGTCTGTCTGTCTGTCTGTCTGCCTGCCTGGCTGGCTGGCTGGCTGCTGGCTGGCTGGCTGGCTGGCTGGCTGGCTGGCTGTGTCTGTCGGTCTTTGTGTCTGTCTGTCTCTCTGGGTCTGTCTGGGTCTGTCTGGGTCTAGATCTGTCTGGGTCTGGTCTGTCTCTGTCTGTCTCTGTCTCTGTGTCAAAAAACACATGCGACTGTTCCCCCCCAAAAAACATCAAAAACCACATGCTCAATACCATTCACCTCATCCAGTCGGACTGGGCACACGACCGAACACATCCACGATATCAATCGTACAGTGTCCCGCGGCTTGCCTAGACGTTTGCGATTTCTGCGATGTCCAAAATGCAGTCTCCCCGGCCGGCATAACCGGCATCGCATGTACATAGTGCAGTGCCCCTTGGCTTGCCGAGACGTTTGCGATGTCAATAATGCTATTTGTCCCAGCCTGCATAACCTGCATCGCCAACGTCTGGTCCAATTTTCAAAAACATTTAAAAAAAAAAGCACAGCACTTCTAGGAGAAAAATGCGCTCCCCCCAAGCTAAAGCTTAGGATTTGTCTAGCCGGATTCCTTGCGATTTACACGAGCCTACACAACGCCCTTGGCACCTCCGGCGCGGGCGATTTCCATATATGCCCCGCCCCAGAAACTCCCCCAGGTTCCGCCCACCCCTGTATGTAAAGATTCCAGTCTCATGGAGGGCTTGGAGCGTCCATCAACTGGTGGAAAGAATCATGGTGAAGTTCCTTGGGACAAACTGAATGGTTGATTCGGCCAGTTGGCTGACTCAACCATGGAGGGCTTAGAATCCATGACGGTGGAATCATCCAACTGCTGAGGGCTTCTGATCGGGTTATCAGTCAATTTCAACAGTGGTGGCACCTTCGATGTTTTCTTCAGCTCCACTCTGGGGCCTTTTCCTTTTGTTCACAGCATTTCTTCAGTCAGCTTCCCGATTCTTTGGGGGCGCGCCTCATCGGGCCTCCCGGATGTGCAGCCTTGACGGGACCACTGTGACTCGCGGTGTGAAAAGAACCGCCGATTCGGAAGGAACGTCGTGATCCCTTTCCTCCCCATCCACTTGTTCCGTCGTGATCTTCGGTACTGAAGGTTCGTCCCAGATCTGAAGGTACGAGACCTGTCAGATCTGAAGACAGATCTCGGACGTCTTCCGACTGCCGCATGTGACTGCTGCCGATGATCCGCTGAGAACCAACGAGCCGAGATCTCGGGAATCTGCCGACCTCACGAGGTCTGAGGTCACGGTCCATCTGGGCACTGCTGATCATGAAGGAAGTGCTGAGCACCAGCCATGTTCGGATGTGAAGAGCTAGTAAGAGAGTACCAGGCCGGAATGGTTTGCTATAGTCTCGTGCACCAGCCAAAGGTGTTTCTTTTGGCCCCTGACTGGCCCTTCTTGAAAGAATACGGTTTGATTTAACATGGACTGTTTGGGATCTCTTTCACATACACATCATACACCGTTTGTTGCAGGATTTGATTTTGATGTGGTATTTTGGACGGTGCTGTGCTATTTGTCCTGCCTCGCGCTGATATCAAGCTTCGTGAATTGATCCAAGCAACTCAGCTCACGGACGTTGGCAGTTTGGACTTGCAGCCTACCTACCCAGGAAACGTGGATAAACTCCAACACCCCACTAAACAAGACTAGACTGAGGGAGTAAGTCTAAGTGCAGCATGTCATGGTTTCTGTGACCAGTCTTCATCCGACTTCAAAGCGAGAAGATTCAGTCTAACACATAGTCGAATGCTAGCATCCGAGGTTCAGCGGTTTCTTCCAAACATCTCTGCGGTCCACTCTCACCTGAAAAAACTCATAAGATGTCTCCCCTCTATGTCTCACTCTCACCTCTTTATACAGATTCCTTTCCCCAAGAAAACTCTCACCAAGAGCTCAGATCTCTCACCTTTCTCCCCTCCCTTTCGCTTTACCTGGGTCCGGTCAGCTTCGAGCGAAGGGTCTCGCACCCAACCCACAGCTGGAAGAGCTCTCCCGTCCCGAGCTCGCCACCCCCTTTTTGATGAGCAATCCAAGGATGGCAAGAAACAGAACATTTGGCAGAGAACATGGATTTCCTTGGGCAAAAAATACGTACCGGTGAGTGTTCCAAAAGGAACCACGGAGCTGCAGCTTCACACGGAGAAAGACACGGAGGTCCCAGCTCGGGCGACCGGTCGAAACGGACGGACCAACCGACGCTCAACGGCCGACACGTGCCGTGCCATGGCGGAATGACGGCGAACGCGGCGAAGGCTTGAGGCGGCGGATGCCTGAAGCCTAGTCGAAGGGTTTGAAGGTTGGGATGGGTCGTGACTGGTGAGGTTTCCGCGACGATGGGTCCACGGAAGCGATGAACGTGCAGGGAGAGGTGAACCCCGGTGAGTCGGGTCATGGTTTTCACCGCCAGGATGGTGAAGGGTGCTTGCAAGCAAGACCCTGTCCGCCTGTCCGCCTGTCCCCCCCCCATCCATGGTGTTTTGATCCGGATCTCTGCACATACATCCCCAGGGTGGATTGAGCCCCCTGCACCGGAGCACTCCCAAAGGTGCGGCTGCTAAAGCACCGAAGTGTGTTTTTTTCTTGAGCGTCCATGGCTGTTTCTCATTGAGAACTCTTCCGGTGATGAGTTCAGGCATTTTGATCCGCCTACTCAAATGGAGGGAAAGCACCAGAATTGGTCAAGAACACACGAGATGGGTTCCATAAATTTCAACTCCTGGAAATTCTCAGATGGAACCCGCAAAGCTGGCGGGTGTAGTTCTTCAGTCCCTCGTCCCGTTGTTCTAACGCTTCGGTGCCCAGGGAGGACCGGCGTTTTCATCTCTACGACACCGTGCTGTACCTATCAACGTGTGCTTCTGAGGCGTCCGTCCCGATGCATAGCCGTCCTCATATCCGTCCTATCATGGTTTAAAATCAACGATTCTCATCAGCAATCACCCCCAAATTCCCAAATCTTGTTGGAAGATCTGTGTGTTCAGCTGACGTCTCACCCCACCCTGCTCCATGTTCTTGCTTGCTGAAGGGAAGGCCTTGAACAGGGCCAACAGGGCCCAAGGGCCCCCTTCGGCCCAAGGGCTGAGCTTTTTCATGCTGAAACTGCAGGTGGGCCTCACCACCTTCTACCTGAGTATAAGTTCACTCACCTTGGAAAACCACCTGAACCCAAAAAGCCGCTCATGGCCCATGGCCATGCCATGGCCGCCTTGCCGGGCGTCGCCTCACCCTCCAGGTCAGGCCGACTTCTGGGCTCCTTGGGCTCGGCCGCCAGCGGCCTGGGCGGCTTCGTGGGCTCCGTCGTCACCGGCGTGGTGGGCGGAGTCCTCGAGGGCGCCAGGCGACGTCGGGTGGGACGGGGTGGTGTTCGGGAAGGAGCGGTTTGAGGACCGGTTTGGAAGAGGTCTAACAGCAAAAGAATGGAAAGAAAATTGGAAAGAACTGGATCATTCACTTAAAGTCATTTGGTGTGCGATGCGTCTAGAGTCAGCTGGAACCTTGGGCCGCCTTGGGCACCTGCACCTGCAAGTAGTGAGGTGAAACGAGCGACTGCAAAATCAAAACGAAAGCATGAGAACAATGCAATGTGATCAAGGGGCTTCCGTTCTGATTACTGTAGTACCCATTTTGCTATGAAGAAAACAACAAACCTTGAACATGTCAATTGTCTCCAATTTGCAGGGCAATTTTTTGCAGGCCTTTGCAAGGAATTGCACAGAAGTATAAGATGCCTGGTGAAAATGGATGTAGAGTATACTTGCTTAGAGGGTCTCTTGGGTCAATCGAATCCCTTGAATGGTGCCATGAACACTCTGTTTTCTCCAGCCTCTCATGCCGGGTCTCATGGCGTT